TCGAGTGCATACAGCCAAGCGCGATTCGGAGGCAACGGTATTGAACTCGTTGCAGCTTCAAGATATGTGTTTTCGCCGCGGATTGAAAGCAGAAGCTACCGTACTCTAGAACCGACAAGATGGTTGTTCGATACAACCTGATAAGATCTTCCGGGTGTGCTCCCCACCAAGTTCCGGTAATTGTACGAAGAAAATTGATTCTTTGTTGGCATTTTTGTTTTAGATACGCAATATGTTTTCCCCATGTGCATTTGGAATCGAACCAGACACCTAAATACTTGAAAGATATACTTTGAGTGATTGTTCTACCCTTTAGTTGAAGCTGTAACTGTGCAGGATGATGCTTCCTAGAAAAAACAACCAACTCAGTTTTCTCCGGAGAGAATTCGATACCCAGCTTCATAGCCCAAGTAGACAAATTGTCTAAGGTATCTTGCAATGGTCCTTGCAGGTCCGGTGCACTTGGCCCTATAACGGACACAACGCCGTCATCTGCAAGCTGCCTTAGCGAGCAATTTTCATCAAGACAACCATCAATGTCTTTAACGTAAAAATTATAAAGAAGGGGGCTTAAACATGAGCCCTGGGGGAGACCCATGTAACTAATTCGTGAAGTTGTCGAGTTTCCATGAGAAAAGCTCATATATTTCTCAGACAACAAGTTGCTCAAATAGTTGTTCATAATTGGTGAAAGCCCACTATCGTGGAGTTTATCCGAAAGGACATCGATACAAACAGAATCAAAAGCCCCCTTAATATCCAAGAAAACTGAACCCATTTGCTGTTTTTGCGCATAGGCCAGTTGAATTTCAGTTGAAAGCAACGCAAGACAGTCGCTCGTCCCTTTGCCTCTTCGAAATCCAAATTGCATATCTGAAAGTAAACCATTCGACTCGACCCATTTGTCTAGACGAAAAAGAATCATTTTCTCCAACAATTTCCGTATACAGGACAGCATCGCGATGGGACGGTACGAGTTATAATCCGACGCGGGTTTACCGGGTTTTCGAATGGCGATAACTCTTACTTGCCTCCAATCATCCGGAACAATGTTGTGCTCCAGAAATTGATTGAATAAGTTCAACAAGCGTCTCTTCGCGACGTCTGGGAGATTTTTGAGCAAGTTGAACTTGATTCTATCCATTCCTGGAGCTGAGTTGTTACATGAGAGGAGAGCAAGTGAGAATTCCACCATCGAAAACGGAGAATCTATTTCGTTACTAACCGACGGACTATCACGAACGTTGGTTTGAACCGACACCGAATCCGGGCAAACTTTCTGCGCGAAGCTGAATATCCAACTGTCTGAGTACTCCTTGTCTTCGTTGACCGGTGATGACGCGTTGCGCATTCTCCTGCCGACATTCCAGAGTGTTCTCATCGAAGTCTCTCTCGACAAACCATCGACGAACCGACGCCAGTAACCGCGTTTTTTGGCTTTAATCAAGCTCTTAAAAGTTTTCTCGAGGTCGGTGTACCGCTCGAAATCTTCGACCTTACCGTGTTTGCGGAAGCGTTTAAACGCGGCGGACTTCTCGCTGTTCGCGTCAGTGCAATCCTTATCCCACCACGGAGTGAGAGGTCGTTTGCGAACGAAAACACCCGGAACGCGTTTCGTCTGTGCTTGAAGAGCGCAGTCAACGATAAGTCGCGATAAAAAGGAGTACTCATCCAGCGGAGGGAGTATGTCAACCGAATCAGTACCACCGAGAACCGCGGACGCAAATTTTTGCCAGTCGATGTTTTTCGTGAGGTCGTACGCGATGTCAACCGAGCGAGTGGAAGATGAACCATTGGTAATAGAAATTTTGATTGGCAAGTGGTCACTACCGTAGGGATCTTGAATTACTTTCCACGAGCAATCCAACGATAGTGAACTCGAACTGAGGGAGAGGTCTAATCTACTTTCTCTTGCTGGAGGTTTGGCCACTCGTGTTACTTCCCCAGTGTTTAGAATTGTCATATTGAAGTTATCGCAAAGGTCGTATATCAGGGTTGAGCGGTTGTCAACGTACAGTTCCCCCCAGCCTGTACCGTGGGAGTTAAAATCTCCTAATATCAACCGAGGCTCAGATAAAGCTGAGCAGATATCTGAGAGACCTTGGCGAGAAATCGCAGTTCTTGGAGGAAGATATACTGAGGCAATACTGAGGCTTTTACCTCGAATATTTACCTGACATGCGACAACTTTAATGCCTGTCACGGAAGGCAGATCGATTCTATGAAAGGAATGGAGCTTATGAATCCCGAGAAGCACCCCTCCATACGAATCTGCTCGATCAAGGCGAATAATGTTAAAATCGTGGAAAGGGAGATCGGTGTCTGAAGAAAGCCATGTTTCACAAAGAGCAAATGCATCACAAAGTGAGTTGTGAACTAAAAATTTGAATGTGTCAAGTTTCGGTATAAGACTTCTACAGTTCCACTGAAGAACAGAGATCATATCCCCGACCTCATTCGGAAAATTATCCATCAAAGGATATGATCGATGCAAGGAAGGACCACCTAGAAGCTAGTTGCTTCAAAAGAGTTTTCACGAATGGAAGCACTAAATTAATAATGTTCCGAGTTGAGTCAGAGACGTTGAATATATTGAAGATGCTCTCCACAATTTCAGAAAACGTGAACATGGCATCATGTTCTTGCTGATTATTCAGCTGTTTTTCTGGCTGAAAAACTGGGATATCTGGGGTTTTAGATGATCCCGGAAGTGGCGGAAAGTCCTTGTTAAAATTACAAGATTTAAATCTCGGTGGTGGGGGTTTCGGTACATTTCCGCTACCTCTTAAATTTGTCAAGGTAGGTTGGTAGTCCATACGAGAGGCCTTACGAGGTTTTTGGGTGACGTTTATTTTGGACCGCTTCCTCGTGTTGCCATTAAAGACAAAAGGACTACTCTCACCCACCTCTGAGTCAGAGCCCTGATCATCATCTGGCAGGAGGTGGAATGTGTTGTTGCTTTTTGGGGTGGTTTGGGAAGATGAAGCGGTCGTTTTTAAAATTTCTGCTAACGAGCGCTTAGAGCGAGCTTGCAAAGACCGCTTTAGTTTTTCTCCCTGCTGTTTGTACTTCGGGCAATCACTCAGAGCATGCGGAGCATCCTTACAGTAAACGCATTTTGGGGTAGCATGACAAGGACCCTCCGTATGCTCCTCCCCACATTGATCGCACCGCGGTTTGTTGGAACAAAAGTCCGCGGTGTGACCTAGTTGTTTGCATTTCAAGCAATTCATTACCCTCGGTACAAACAAGCGTACAGGTAGTCGAACCTTCCCAATTGTGACGTAGTCAGGTAATGCCGATCCTGAAAAGGTCACACGAAACGAATCTGAGAGGGTATACTTTTTTTTTGTGCCTATGTGCGACACTGACTGCAGTTGAATGCAGTCCAGTATCTTGACTTTCGGGAGGGCACGGTTTTTGAAAATGCCGAATGATTCGACTTGCAGGAAATCCTCACAAGTCAGACTCGATTCGGTGACCACTCCTTCAATTTCTACGTCACAACTGGGGACGTAGACTCGATATTCGATCGAAAAAAGCTCACAGGCAACAATCCGGTTTGCCTGTTTCAGGTCATCAACGGTAACGCGCAGTTTGTTTGACGTTACCTTAAAGATATCGGTTACGGCCGAAAAATGTTTTGTCAGATCCTTCGAAATCCGAGAAATATTCAAAGGTTTTTGTTTGGGCCGGAAAAAAACAACCCACGGACCTTTTGAGTCGCTTGGGTAAGCTTTATGGCGGGGGGTCGCAGAAATTTTTAAGGGAACGGTTGGAGTAGGGGGAACAGGTGGACGAGGGGGCGATGGTGGAGAAGGGGGGGCAGGGGGTGAAGAAGGTTGTTGTTTAGACATCACCTTTGGGTAAGCTCCAGTGCTCGTTTTGGGGTCCGAAGTAGAATCCCCTGAGGTATCCATTTCCTCTTCAGTGAGAAGCAGATTTTCGAATGATGGAGATTTAACAGACTCATCATCGGAGATATCTGCTAGCGAAATACCCCCGCCATCATTGGTTTCATCCATTGCGGGGTCTTAAGTACCTCCGCAACAGATTTCGACATAAAAAAGGAAATATATATATATATATATTTATATATATATATGCGTTGAGAAAAAAAAAATAATAAATAAAAAAAAAAAATAAGAAAAAAAAAATAAACTTATCCAAAAAATATAACGGTAAAAATAATACTTAATCCAACAAAGCAAAAAAAAAAAAAAACTTTAAAATGGAAAAAAATAATGCCAGGAAAGTTAATCAACACTATAGGGAGATTAATCAACTTGCAAAAAAAAAAAAAAAACAGTAAATGAGAAAAAAGAGAAAAAAAAAATGAAAATTTTTTCAGGAAAAAACAAAAAGGTGTCAGAAAAGTTAATCAACACTGTATGGAGATTAATCAGGTTGCGGAGAACGGAAGATAACCGTTTGTTACTTAACTCTCCACACAAGCGCACGGAGTGTGGCTGATGACGATGATCTATCCTGATGTGAGAATGATGGTGATGATCGTTCTATTGTTGCCCTCGAGTGTTTGCAACAAAGCACCGGCTGGCTCGCCGGCTGGTGAACTCGATGACCTTGAGTTTGCCGTTTCGTGATGCGATGAAACTTGTTGGTTAGAGATGTACAGCTCATCTGCCGGACTCGGCCGGAAATGACTGCTTCCTTTCTCGAACGATTGAGCGGCAATTACAATTCCGCGATGCTCACTGCACTGTTGTATACTACAACACCACTCAGTATGAAAGCGGATTGAAAAAAAAAACCTCAATAGGGGAAAAAAACTAGTACCGATTACGGAGTGCAAGCAATACTTGACCGAAACAGTCGAGCGTTCGATGTGGAATGATTGTTTTTTATGATATGGTAATTGTTCCGGGATAATTTTAAATAATACGTCTTAGAATAATACTTGTGACATCCCTAAGGGCATAGAAACATAGAACATAGAAATAAAAACATGGTCTAAAGTGTAGCCGTAGCTGAACAAAACAAAGTGCAGCTTTGGTTCTTTTGATCCGGATTTCGGATTTCCGTGCGGTGCGGGCGTCGGGTTCTCGTTTCATTTGTAATAATTCGGTAGTAAAATAGTAAACCATGTCGCTAGCCCAATATCACATTGATAGTGATGATGATTGCCGGCTGCCCGCGGATACCTTGCTGGTGCTGCAGCAGTTCCTTCAGGAGAAGGAATTGCGCGAGAAGGCAGAAGAAACCGGTGAATTAGCTGGAAACACAGGTTTCGAGGAAAATTGGGTTTGCATCTCATTTGGGTACACATATTACAACGTTTAAGAATTGGAAATTTTTATTTGCAGCAACTTAGCCAGTTTTGGTATAATAATGATACAAAGGAAAAATTGGCATTAATTGTAAATCATTTCAAAGAACGATTTGCCTCTGATGGAAAAGAACTGCGAGTAGCTCTGCTTTCTTCCCCGTCGCTCTATCATCACGTAAAGGATGTTGCTGAAAAGGGTAAGCTATAACTTTTATAATAATCTTATAATGCTAATGCACAAACACTGCAAGACGAAACTTTATTATAAATCGCTTGAAATTGTAATGGTCAAGAGTAGTCAACATTTTACAATTTAAATTGAACTAGTCTGGCCGGTTGTGACAAAAATACAGTCAACTTTAGCTCGTTGGGCTAAACTCGTAGTCCACTAAGGCTTTCGTTAATTAAGGTTAGCTGAGCTGTTAAGATGAAAATTTGTTAAGGGATACACCAATAATTATTGTTTATTATCATTAAAATCCTTTAGCAACTATCCAAATTGTTCATCCATGAGCCCATCGAAAAGGAATCAGCACTGTCTGAAATGAGGTTTGACTTCGATTCAGGTTGCCTACAGCCCAACTAAAACGTAGCCCACTTAGACATAGAACAACGAGCGAAATTTGACTGTAGTTCATTCGGTATTTTAATCAAGGTTTTCCAATATTAAGCTTTTGATGTGCATATATCCAATAGATCGTTAATACGTCAATAAATAATTACATTACATTTTATGTTAGTAACATTGTTCGAGTTTGATGAACGATTTGCATCTATTGGATCGGACTTCCAACATTTCGATTACAACTGTGCCGTTGAGAACGATTATTTGGACGAATTCAGTGAAGCCTTCGATCTTATCATAGCTGATCCTCCATTCTTGTCGGAGGAATGCATCGAAAAAATGGGTATCGTAGTTCGTAAGATTTCCAAACCACATTGTAAAACTATTCTCTGTTCAGGCTACGCCGTACGTGATTGGGCTAAAACGTTTTTAAATCTTGATATTTGCAAATTCGAGCCTCAGCACGAAAGGAATTTAGGGAATGAATTTTCTTCTTATGCCAATTTCGATTTGGATAGTGTGTTCGCAGAAAAGATGTAGCTTTATTTAATGACGAAAAACATTACAAACAAAAGTTAAGCTTTCTGTGCTCTATAATTCGTCGTCAATCATCCGAAATGCATCCTCTAATGGTTCTGAACTTAAATTCTAGCATCACTCCTTCGTATCGGTTCCGTTTTCCTTCGCTGTAGATTCTGTCCTTTTTTGTTGTACCAATTCCCTTAGGCTGTCTTCCTGTTCTTTGAGATTTTTCAACAAAAACTCCTTATTCTTTTCACATTGGCCGATCATCTCTTCGAAGTTACTTTGCTTGGTTTTCATCTCCGACGTCAATGAAGGCACATTTGACAGCACGAACATTCGACCAACCGAAGCGTAAACTTTGGTATCGGTATTAAGATGGGAGACTTCCTTATTTGTAAGCTCAACTCGCTGTTTCGACACCTTCAGGCTATCGGTCTTCATGTCCAACAAACGGATTTTCTTGGTGGATTCGATTTTGTTCATCTGCATCTCGGTAAAGGCCTAAAATGGGAACAATGTATGACACATCTACTTCGTGATTTTGAGAAGCGTTGTTACCTTTTTCAATTCCAAATCCATGTTTATTTTGTGGCGTTATTAGCTTTATAACAGGAAACTGTCGATTAAATTGAACTGTTTATGAATAATTCGGCTTTAATCCGTGCATGTGTTCGGAAATCAGAAAATCTGTACTTTTTCGGCGAAGTCAACGCGATATTTTCTGATGAGTTCTGTCAAATCCGAAAACGAAAAAAGGAAAAGGAGAACATAATCAACGAGAGGTTGAGGGGTGTGCAGATAGATGTATTACCTTGTGTATTACCTTTTTACCATTTATCGCGTAACATTTGGAAAGGGCCTAGCAGCTTTTGTAAACAAAACACCTGGTCACCCTACACTGAAACAAAGATCATAGTTAGAAATACTATTTTGCAGAAAACACTTATTTTCAGTATAACTACGCTTAATGCCGTTAAATCTATGATTTCAGTATAGTTGACTATAAATATAAACAAAGTCAATACCATTCTGTCATTCTGCTTACTCAAACGGCAGAGTACCCTAATAAAAAATAACCATAAACGAACGATAACCCAAATCATTGAACTATTCCACAAATGGTTTGGATGATACCCAGAACACGTCGTTAAGCAAATTAACCATACAATTTTTATTAGGGTAGTTTTGATAGAAAAAAAAGTAAAATTAAATGAATTTCGTTTCTGCACAAATCTATTGGTGGGAGTATTTAATTTAAACCATCAATATATTTAGTAATTTTGCCAATGGATTTTGTTTCTGTGTAAAATAGTGACACTGATAAATTAAACTATTCTCATTTTGCAAAATTTAATCAATTTGACATAAAACTTAGTTTAAAGCGCTGTCCAGACTGGAGAGTTATAACATGTTATAACGGTTGTCAAATAATTGCAACACAGAAACCACCATCAAGATAGCGCTATAACATGTTATAACTCAGTAGTCTGAACGTACTATAATCATATCGAATGATTAAAACTTAATAAATAATAAATAAAAAATTAAAATAAATAATAAATAATAAAATATTTATCTTTTGCTAAAAAATAATCATCTGATATTAAACGCAGTTAAATCAAGTTACCTCTATGGTTAAATCATGGTTGATTAAATTGAAACCTATCTTGTTTGAATAAATTTGAATAATTTTTGATTAATTCCAATCTTTTTTCATTGATTTTTTAATCTTTTTTGGTTGAATTTAAATAATTTTTGATTATATATTAATATTCTAAAATAAAAAAAAATAATGCTGAAAAGGGGTAATCCCAAGAGGTAAGTCACTCAGCACATTATGCCGAAATTAGATACGGCACAACTTGGGCACATCCATCGGCACAATCTCGTAGGCATTGGATTGTTGCAAATAAAATGGGAGCACTGCTGGACAACTGTCATTGATGTAAGTTCTAGAGTGAGCTCAAGAGAACTTAAACAGACCCCATTAGTACCCTTAATTCAAAATAATGCTGTAACTCACACTAAACAAACTATAGATGTCATATTCATCATCCTCTATAGTCAGTCGCCAACAATGTTCCCCACTGGTTTCGGCAGCCGATAGACCGTTGTTTTTCTCATCACAAAAGGCCAGGCTTCTGGTCTACCTTTGAGGGCATTATAAAACCCTACAGGACTCAGAGTTCGTTGGAAATGCTAACATGAAGCTTTAGTGTGATGATTTATTAGCTAGAGAATGATCTTTTAGAAGAGGGTAGGTGGATAGTTCCGTTAGAGTACGGCAGTATGAAAATTGAATAGAAGTTGAATATGAGCGAAGGGCCATTAATGCGACAGTTTTTCAAGATAGACGCACATTTTTGCCTAACCCGTACGATGTACGCCTGGACTTGAAGTATGTCTCCAAGTCCACAGGCAAAAATGTGCGTCCCTCTTATTGCTCATAAACTGACTGCGGCTGTGGAATAGTTCTAGCGACGTTTTCATCACTACCTAAAGCCCCACGTTGCGAGAGCATTTCCAGTCGATGGTGTGTTATAATGCAGTTCTTCTTTACCCAACTATTGTGTTGCTCCTCTCGTCATGACCAACGTGATCATCTCAGAGAGAAAGCAGTAGGGTGGTTGTTGCGTGCTGTACCATCATCAGCATTGTTGACGGCTACTCCCGCCTTGAGTTGTTACATTCAAAGTGTTTTTATGTTACTTCATACGCGAAGTTAACGATTTTCAGAGTTGGTTGGAAATGCTAACATGAAGCTTTAGTGTGATGATTTATTAGCTAGAGAATGATCTTTTAGAAGAGGGTAGGTGGATAGTTCCGTTAGAGTACGGCAGTATGAAAATTGAATAGAAGTTGAAAATGAGCAAAGGGCCATTAATGCGACAGTTTTTCAAGATAGACGCACATTTTTGCCTAACCCGTACGATGTACGCGGGGACTTGAAGTATGTGGACTTGGAACTATTTTAAATAAGAACGATTACATTTGCAAAAATCACCTCGGTGTCACTTTGTATGGGAGCGAGCTGTCAGTTAGTCAGTTTAGTGTCAAACAGTGAAGTTATTATTTTGCTTTAAATCTTGATTTAAAAATCGAGATGAAAGTTTGTGGGTTCGAAAAAAATATCGCTGTGCTCAGAAAACGAAGCTCTTTCAGATGATATTTAAAAACCGATATATATTTTTTTTATTTCGAAATAATAATGGCCCGGACTCCAATGAGGTGAAGGGGGAATTTGCATACTTGTTAAGTTTTTTGATTTAATTTATTATTGAGTGTACTGGGTACCAATACCACCGACGCTACTTAGTGCCCTTATCAAATGCAAAAAGCTGAACGGCGCCGGTGGTGTAGTGGTAAGCGTGATTACCTCTCACCCCAGCAGGCCTGGGTTCAATCCCAGTCGGCGCCGCCGGGATGTTCTGAGGCATAACATCTCTGATCACGCCTTCCTTCGGATGGGAAGTAAAGCCGTTGGTCCCCGGTTCATGAGTTGATGGGTCGATAGGTAGGGTCCAGGTGTGGGAGCTGCCTTCCTGGCACGTCGGTAGCATTGGTGCTCAGCACGGAAAACAAGATCGACGGAAAAAACAAACCAAAGGAAAAAAAAAAAAAAAAAATGCAAAAAGCCAATTTGTGTATGTTTTGTTACGGAGTCAATAGCATCGTCCTTCGCTTCTGAATATTATTTTTGTACGAACGTGCGATGATAGTATACAAAAATTAACGTTTGATTAGTCAAACGAATCATTCTGTATAATTTAAAATCCAGGTCTTTAGATTTTGACAGCTCAAGAGCGATGAAAATTTACTGAACGGAATCAGTAAATAATAAAATTACCGAATAGATTACCTAATGTTTAGCTGTTCCATATTCGGTAAAAAATTACAGTATACTGTAAAAAAACAACTACAAGGGACAGCCCAGGGGTTGTATGCAATGGTGACGTAGGAGTACGTGGTCTTATATAATAAAACTTATTTGTTAACTGCAGCAGGAGCTTTGTTTTGTGTGGGAATATGAATTTGAGCGGGGTTCTCTCTGTTTATACTCTTTAGTATGACGCGCTTGACATTGATGGCCCACAGAGACTCACGACTGCCCGCATAAACGCGAACCATAAATTGACCTTACCTAAAATGGTTAAAAATTGTTTATAATCCCTGCTAAACTTTAACTGAAATGGTTATGGAACTTTACATGAACGTTTAATGATAAAGTTTCAACCTTATGCATTATGGTTTTTTGGAACTGGACCTTACAAATAATGGGTTGTTAAGAACCATTACCATTCCAAATTCTTGCTTTCTCCATACATTTTCGGAAAGAGAACTATATTAGAACCTTTTAGCTTATGGTTTGAGAACTTTAAAGGTAATGGTTATGGTAGTCAGTAAGGTCCATTAATGGTTTTGTATTATCGCTCAACTTTACGTGGAATATATCGTGAATTGGTAATCAGTAAATTACAGGCAACCAATTCGCGATATATTCCACATAAAGTTGATCGATGTTACAAAACCATTCTTGGACCTTATTGACTACCATAACCATTACCTTTAAAGTTCTCAAACCATAAGCTAAAAGGTTCTAATATAGTTCTCTTTCCGAAAATGTATGGAGAAAACAAGAATTTGGAACGGTAATGGTTCTTAACAACCCATTATTTGTAAGGTCCAGTTCCAAAAAACCATAATGCATAAGGTTGAAACTTTATCATTAAACGTTCATGTAAAGTTCCATAACCATTTCAGTTAAAGTTTAGCAGGGATTATAAACAAATTTTAACCATTTTAGGTAAGGTCAATTTATGGTTCGCGTTTATGCGGGTGATCAATAGCGGTGCGCCTTCTTTCTCCTTCTATAGATGCTCATGTGGGCTGATGGCAGCCTTTGGTTGTGTACTGGAGAACAAGAAGTCATTGTTTACAAAAGCTGTTACGCCCTAATTCCAGCTATATCTTGATATGGGATCTGACATCTATGATGGTTGAGTAATTAATGCTGAGTTATTAGGGTATTAAACACATATGAGGCTGGTGAGATATATGTTATTTAGAATGAAGGTGATGCGCTTGGCATAGATGTGGACTACAGCTTGCTTGCAGGCAGCCTTTCATTGTGTGCTGGAGAACAATGTTCAACGCCACCCACGCGCCGAAAGCACTGCCGCTGCTGATGCCGACGACCGGACACCACCACACAGCCTTGATAGCTAGTTGCTTGCGGAGGGCCTTTCGTTGTGTACTTGAGAACACCACCACTCATCACGCGGTGATTGAATAAATATGGCTAAAAATCTCTATAATAAAGAAAAAAAACACCGTTTGGTGAGACCGGATGGAATTCAACTTTGAAATCTGTGTTAGGAAAATTGCTTTTCGCAGACAATCGGTGATAATTTTAATTATCGTTGCAACAATTGCACATTCGTGCAATTTTCAATATTGACATTTAAAAAAAATGATAAAGTCTTAAATTTAAAAGATGCGTAGAACCACTTCTGATCAATTGGTGATAACATTATTGTAATCGGTCTAGGGACAGCTGAGTTATTAGCGTTCAAAAAATTTCATAATTTTGTTACATGTTCCATTTTCGGTTTTCACAAGGTTTACCCCCATATAAAAATCACAGACGTAGTCCTGCGTCAAAATCTTAGTGTGATAGACTAATCCTTCCGGTATAGTCACTTGAAAATTTTCAAAAAACCTATGGGTATAAAAAATAGAAATAAGTCGCAAGTAACCACCAAGCCCGTTAATAGCCCGATAAGGGCCCTTTTTGAAATATAACAGCTTATTATAAACAAACAAAATTTGCTCTAGAGATCTTTATTGCTGCTTAAAATCTTATGCTTAACTATGTATTACTAACATTATATGTGATTAAACGTCTAATGCCGCGGATACACTTGTATGACAAACTATGAGTATGAGTCTTATTTGTATAATAATTATGAACACTATACAAAAACTATACAAGTGTTTTATTATACAAGTGTATCCGCGGCATAAGCGTGAGAAAAAATTTAATAAGCTTCGATGATGTAAATATATCTGCGCATTAAAATATTTGAAGGCACGTTTTCCCTGTCATAATAAATCATTCAATTTGTTTAAATAGGTGTGAATGTTTTTTGAGATGTCATTCTCTGTTTTGCACTGTCAATTACTTCAGAAATGGCAAACTTGTAGGTCAATAAAAAATATGCCCCCTTTGTGCGAATATGCGTTATCAAAATAATGCAGATTTCAGAATTAGGCGGCTATCGGCGAGAGGGTAATTTTATTTTGGCCTATCTTCAACATGTTGTATTCATCTATATAAACGCATTTTTTTATGCGTTTCTGATGCAGTGGCTTTCAAACCTGTGTACAAAATGTGCTAGCAAAATGCAAAGAATCTTTGACATTTCTATTTTACTGATATGTATGCATTTCAAGCAACATGCTGAGCAGGTAGATGATTGGACGAGGTCACTGTTCCGATATGATTGGAACTTATTTTAAACCCGGACGCGACGACTTGCCCTGGCACGTTGGACCGCAATGACAACGGTCCAAATCCAAAGCGCAATGCACGTCCATGAACAAATGATGCCAATGATAAGTGCTGCCGACGTATTGATTTTTCCCTCGCGGCGCCGGTCCCATGACACGTCCTGATGAAGATAATCCATAAAATCGAATACCGATGCACAGGACAGTCTTCCCTGGATGGCAGCTACCAAAGAACCACTGGCGTGCATGTATTTGATCAGTTCATTGCGGTACTGCTTACAACTGTAGAGGAAACCATCCAGGTACATAGCGGCATGGACCAGTGTAAATAACGCCATGAAGCTGCCGATGATGCTTACGGGGATCCAGTAGTACGGGCTGATGTCGTCATCGTCCGTTACATCCGTCTTGGTGGCCATAACTAACACTTCACCAGATCTGGGGGAGAAAAGTGAGTATTGAATGTTAGTCGATATCATAGTAAAATGTGATGCGTTTGTATGCTGAATTTTGGTCATAAGAAGGTAAGAAGTACGAGGATAGTAAACTATAGATTCCAAAGATAAGCGTAGGCGTAAAAAGTTGGTAATTACGAAAAATAAATGATCTTACTGACATCCGTGAAAAATGTTCATGCCATATAATAAAGCTCTTTGTTGTGTAGTTTAGTTTTGTTTTGTTTTCTCTCATGCGCACACGTTCAAAATGAAGTGCAAAGCAAATCTTTGAAACAATGAATCGAGGAGTGGTTTCCTTCTTCCGTTTTCCATAAAATAAATCAGAACGATATATCCATGATGAATTTTTGCAATATAGATCTGAGGAACTACTGGTAGAACTTATAAATCTACTGAAAGAAGTTTTGCAAAGCTATGTTATTCCTCAAAGCTAGACGGAAACTTTTCAAATCCCGATTGATAAAAAGCAGTGTGCTTAGAATGTAGATGATTATCGGTGTATCACACTTTGTCCGACGGCGTATAAAATATATGCCAGATTGCTTTTATGCAGTTCCAGCATACCAAATGGGCTTTCAAGTGTAGTTCCTCCGACCAAATTTTCGTCCTACGTAGGATTTTAGATGAAAGATAGCACAAAGGATGTTACATTGTAGCTGGATTTAAAGCAAGTCTTTGAACGTCTGGTCATTTCGAAAACAGCAGTGATCTAGGAGTCTCAAAAGCGCTGATCATCCGAATAATTGTATCCTGTCTTATATTATAAGTATGATTATATAATATAAGTATTATATTATAAGTAGTCAAATCAAGACCAACAATTGAAATGGCCTTAACTCCATTTTTTAAAAAAGCTTGTAATGCCATTTTCTCGCGAACCGAAACCTTCATTCGCAAACCTAAACCACAATCGGGTTGAGGAGAATTTTCCCTATCTGTTCATTATGTTGGTTTGCCTTTGCGGACTTCGGTTCGCGAGAAAATGCCCTTACAAGGTTTGTTTACAAAATGGAGTTAAGGCCATTTCAATTGTTGGTCTTGAAATGGTCGTTAAGCTATACCATAGCCTGATCACGCCTATTCTATGGAGTGCTGAAAAGAAACAGAAACTCATTCCGAAGTATGGAGAGCGACATGCTTCGAATTTTAAATCAACTGAGCCTAGATAATGATAAACGGGACGAAACGGAAGGTAATGACGTCGAGGATCAGATAATACATTTAGACAACCCGGAATCAATCCCAGAACACGTACCCGAGGAAGTATCTGCAAACAACAACGAATAAGGATCAGAACATCAGTTATCCCACACCTGTCTACAGCAGCAGTCGATTTTTTATTTCGGTGTGAACCACGCGATAGCCTGTTTTCGAGACTCGCTCTTTGTTCGTTGCTAGCAGTTCGGTGCCTTTTGTTGCTACGGTGCAAGATGTGTGAAATAAAAAAACACCTTCAAGTTTAGCTTCAGCCATGGTGATGCTAAACCAAACATCGGAGAGATTGTAAATTTCGCCAATGCACTCGACGCTGAAATGAAAGGTGTTTATCGCATTGGTGAGGAAAGGGGAGTCTTCATGAAGTTCAAATCAGAGGAAGCGATGTTCTATGCTCTGACATTTAATTCGGAGGATTTAATCTTCCATTATTCGAATGGAACGACGGCAAAGGTACGCATGTCGCATGCTGGTGAATTCATCCAATATGTGCGTGTGTATGACTTGCCACCAGAGGTACCCGACAACGAGCTAGATAAAGTGCTGGGGAAATATGATACGCGGTATATACCTATATGGATGTGAAGAAGGAAATCCCCACGTCTTTACATTTCTTCAATCGCAAAGGAAATATTTTTTTATGATGACAACAAAGATAAATGTTTTCTGTGCAAGGCGGACGGACACCGGAAGCTTTCCTGCCCCAAGCGGAAGGCTCGGAAGGAACCGGAGAAGCAACTTAAGGAAAAAGGAAAGCAGCAAAGTGAAAGAAAACAAAACAGCAACAGTACGTTTGCTGGTGTAGTGGTGGAAGGTGCGTCGTTAGTCATTAGCGACCAGGAAACGGACACGGGGTTGGAGATGTTGAATGAAAATAACGACATGGACGTGACGACCGACGAGAGTAGCGGAGAGCATGCAACGGGAAACGACGTTCAGAAGCAGCAGCAGCGATCACGATTCGGGTTCAATGAAAATGAGGAACAAATTCGGGAAAGAAAGAAGTTGCGTGCACGGGAGAAGATCGCTTTACCGCCGCTTCGATCGCCACCCAGGAAAAACCTAAAATATAATGCATTTCTATCTTTTTTTTGGTATTGTGAGTACTAAAATTGGTATTCCATATTACTCGGCTCCGCTAAGTTATTTTAAAAAAGGATCAGAACATGTGCATGTTGCTCCAAAATAGCTTAAAGGCAGAACGATCAATAACAAAATTAGGGAAAATAATCTCAACTACTATAGGCACATACTCCGCAGTGTTATCAGTGTTAAGGAGTACTCAAAACGGCTATGGAATATAAAATATTTATGAAGAAAAAACTAGGAAAACCTGCCTTTATTTGGAGAACCAGCATAAGACAATATATCTACAGAAGCGAGATACACATAACGGATTGACAAGCAGCATCTTATGATAGGGAAAAATATAAAAGCATGACAAAAAAGTAAAAGACACCATTATCGATTCCATCAGAATTTGAAGGCTCGAGCAGAAACAATACCAGACTGATTATATTTATGAACCACACCTACTCAAAATGACTTCAATATGATTTTACAAAATGGCGACAAATACACAGGACATTACAGCGACTTAATGGAGGCAACTGCAAACAGGTAATAGTAGCACAATTATAACCAAACAACCATGAAAAAGGTAAAAATTTATTTATTTTGAATATTTCATTTACATGATTTATCACATACTTATGGTTGCAATCTACTACACACATTTGATCACAATACGAGCCTAAAAGCTGCAGTGATCTAGTGAGCACCGCTCGGGTCGTCTGTTGTGGTGGTAAGCTCCCCGAATTAAATCCCGGTTAAGAATGTCCAGCTGCTTTGATGTCGACACCAGAGTTAATCAACATGATTCTAAGCAAACATTTTGCAGATCATCCAAACAGGGATGGTGTTAAAAGTTAATCCGAGTTGGAGCTTACCGCCATTAGTATTGTGTATCACATGGAGAGCTCAACCGAGATATTAGACTATTGAAACTGCAGTTGGTCAACTCAAAAAAAAGAAATGTTAGCTAACATAAACTAAACTGTATTATATGTTTCTTTTTAGAGCATATATTGCCAATTCATAGGAAAAATAAGTAACTATTCGCATGCCGGATGCTAATTTTTCTATGAATAGTTAACAATTTACACTCTTCTCTTCTTCTTCTTTCCTTTATTTAACGTCGGTCTCTGTTCCGCAATCTAGTGCCAATCACCGACGGACATCGATTGCCATCCATTGACGGAAATCGAATGTGCCAGAAGGCAGCTTCCACACCTGCGTAGGATATCGCACCCATTCAACACACATGGGCCGGGATCAACGGCTTTAACCTGCCGAAGGAAGACGTGACCAGAGATTTTTATGCCTCAGAAAAATCCCACCGACCTCGGCTGGGATTTAACCCAAACCCATTGGAGTGAGGAAGCAGTCACGCTTACCGCTGGCTTTACAAGCACTCAATGTTCCATAACTGGAAAATGCCTTGTACAGCGAGCATCACCTAGGAGCGACATTAACGAAATGGTTCATCACATTGAAAATGTCAAAACGGTTGTCAAATGCATTTAAAATGCATTCGACACTTTCTGACATTCAGTGGCATAATTTTGACAAATAATTAGTTAAATTTTGATAAATAACTAATACATAAAATACTCGACCCTAGTGAGCGTTGAATATAGTGAAGGAACACGAGAAAATCAGGAGCACAATATATAAACTGGTAATGTACACACTTAGTAAAATTGTTGCAAATAGAAATCATAAATCGTAATATATTTTCAATCTTCTCGCAAAATAATTTTGATTCTCGAAAAATCTATATAATCTGTAGTTTAGGTAAAAATCTGTATATCTGTATATACACATTCTTGGTCAAGAAATTAATAAGAAATCTGTAAAATACAGAATAATCTGTATATGTGGCAACCCTGTAAAGGAGGTATCGAGTTAGGATTTTGAAAATCATCGAATTACAGTTTGGGTATTTGAGGGTTAATGTACATCTTCGGTGTCGGTTGTGAGTTATATCTTGAATAATATTCCTTAAAATTGATTCAATGTTAGCATTATTTACTTACATTTGCCGGACTGTTGCTGTTGTATGTCCTCTCGGTTTTCCGCAACATACTCGAAATACATGGAAGATGCCGAATATGAAGCAAAAGATGATGGGTAAAACCAGCCCATAGGTAGCCCAATGACAGTAGGCGATATGGCCACCCGTGAAGAATGTTGGAGTCGACAGCCCATTCAGAATGCACCCACAGTTGGTTTCAACACAAGTGTCGAGCACGTACTGCCAATGATGCCATGCTACGGCCGTTGATATGCAGCAGATAAATGATAACGCACCGATAAGGGGATATAGATAGGCTAGACGCCTTTCACTGTCGTATTCGTTCATGTTGATTCACCGTTCTTTCAGCAACGATATTGGTACCTTTAGTTCATAAATTTGAAATGATTTACCTCATTATTAAGGGAACACAATATAAACCGTCGAACAAATCTACAACTTACACACTGGGCATTATTTTGCTCGCAGGAATCCTAATCAAAACAATGAGTCGCTCACTAACTAGATCTGTACGCGCAGAGAACTAATTCGTCTTTACGAGCGACGCCTCAATCAACGCAGCACATACCTATCAAAGTTATCACGAATACCAAAGAAACGAAGCATATTACATAGCAAATACAGGTTCTACGTTGACCAGGTATTAGTGTTCGTTTTCAACTCACCTGTACTCATTAAGGCTCAATTTACTTTGAAACTTTTTGGAAAATTTCAAAAGCAGTTTTTTCCGACGCATTATTTCAGAATGCAAAAAGCTCGCACTATTCGATTCCTTTTGATATTTTACACAAAATGACGTAAGCTTTCTGCAATCTAAAATAATGCGTCGAAAAAAACTGCTTTTGAATTTTTAAAAAATGCATCAAAGTAAATTGAACCTTAATAATTGATTGCGTATTGCATTTCATGGTACCAACACCTTTCACTACTCACCTGTATTGTGAGCATATCACATACAACCAGTTGTATGTGGATTTTGGTATGACATGTTCCAATATACTGCTTGATCAAGAAAATGCGGGTCAAATTTTGAAATATTTCGTTATGTGAATATCATTCTACCAATTTACATAAAACTACACCTAGGCTTGTAATCAAGTTACGTGATCTCGTCACCTCACGTCGTTGAAATTCAAGATTCAACTAATTCTTAATTGATGAGGCAATATGTCAAGTTCATTCGCAGTAGCGTGGATGCGATGCGCGCGAAAGCATATGAAATGAGGTATAAGACGGGTGCATTCGCCAGTTTCACTTTGGTGACTAATTGACAACTTGGTCAAGCAGTTTTGGCGTGACTTTCTACCAGCGACTTCATATTCATGCCGAGTTCCATGCAGCAATCAGATAGATATAGATTAAAGTAAAAGTATGGACGAGTGTCACCACAAAACTGAAAAAAGTTGTTCCAATCGAGCAAAACAGTGCATTTTGACGGTTCGCTTGGAACAACTTTTGACAGACGTCCATACTTTTACTTAGAGGACTTTAATATAGATGAGATGGCTCGTAGATAATGACTTACGCGAGTCGATTGAAATCTTCCGAAAATAAATGAGGGCTAAGTTGATTCTTAACATAAAAGCGCATAGTGATGCAAAATATCATGACACTCATTCTACACTCGTCAATGCATACGCTGATAGAACGTTTTGTTTCAACACTTACATTTCGATGAAGATGGGGCTATTTATTTTACCTTTTGACTTAGAACTCGACTATTTCACACATTTTGAAGAAAAGTGGCACTCATGAATCAGTGTTTTTAACCAATTTAATTAATAACTGTTATCCATTATTGATATGTAATGGGTAACAGTTACCCATTAATCGGAAACAAATACTCATTAAATGTGTAAAAATGTTAAGCCACTTTTCTTTGAAATTGGTGAAAATTTACTTTCACGTTAGCGTGTACGGATATGGGTGAAGGCCGGCGCACAATAGATACGTTTTCGGATTTTTTGACAGTTAGCCCATACATTATCTGTCAAAAAACCCGAAAACGTATCTATTGTGCGCCGGCCTTGAGAAAGCCACTATCAAGAATTGAGGTTCTAAATATATCTAGATAGAGCTGGAATTAGGACGTAACAGCTTTTGTTAACAATGACTTCTTTCGATGATTTCCAGTAACTCAAGGCTCGCCCAAGCAAAGCAATATCAACATCAGGGGCCTTATTACGGGTGTCACTACACGGTGATAATGAAGTGATACTCAGAATAAGAACCGTGTTTGCCGTACAAATCAAATGGGAATCACTTCACCGTGACTACAAGTGACAAGTTTTCACCGTGAAGTGACATCCGTAATAAGCCCCCAGATAGGGGAAATCTTCCTCTACCCGATGGTTATGTAGGTTCGCGTTGGCGCGCCCTGTATTCCTAGAAATCATCGAGAAAAGCCATTGTTTACAAAAGCTGTTACGCCCTAAATGGGTTCTTTAATTTTGAAAATTTTATCGGTTTTTATATATCATCTGCAGTGTTGGAAAAATATCAAAAAATCAAATCTCACCAATGCCCAAGATCACGCTTGATTTTCGTAGACAAAAATCAACAAACAAACATCTGCGGTTGATTTTGCAAGCTATGATATCGCAGCTCGGAATATCAAGCTAACAGAACCAGGGGTTTGACATATAGCTGAATACACGTACTCAACATCAAAACAACAAAACATATCATGGTACCGCTGACAACGTTGCAGATGTTCGGTACGCAGCAAACTTAAGCGATATGACAGCCATATCCATCCCCTGAACAGAAGTCACCATCTGCAAATCTCACCAAACTGTGGTGAGATTGAGTTGAATGATTTTTGCTTTAAGCTGGGTTTAGATTAGGCAAGTCAAATGATCAACTCTGTTGAATTCAACTGACTTGAACATGAATTGAACGTGTAAACCATGCCATTCAACTGACTTGATCAACTCACTTGAATTGAAAAAAGTTAAACCAGACTCAACTTTTCAAGCCAATTGAATTCAACTGAGTTGATCATTTGACTTGCCTAATCTAAACCCAGCTTTACACCCGAATGCAACCGAAACTTCCATAACTTCTGGCAGCAGTCCCTTCGTGTCCGCCATCGGTGAAGAGTAAAAAGAGATAGCAAACTATACTTTTTCTTTATAAGAAAACGATGTGGAACGGAATCATTTTTGTGTTGAGTCAGCTTGATTTTTGCACGTTATGAATAGTCTCGCAATATCAAAGGAGCTTGTAAAATCAATATCAAGCATGATATTATGTTCCAATATCACGTGTGATATTGAGAGCGTATGAGAGCGGAAAAATATTATTTGATTGATGATTTTGCCAACACTGATCATCTGAAAGAGCTTCGTTTTCTGAGCACAGCGATATTTTTTCGAACCCACACACTTTCATCTCGATTTTTAAATCAATATTGAAAGGCCATTTTCTCGTGAACAGAAGTCCGCAAAGGCAAACCAACATAATGAACTGGTAGGGAAAATTCTCCTCAACCCGATTGTGGTTTAGCTTTGCGAATGAAGGTTTCGGTTCGCGAGAAAATGGAATTACAAGGTTTGTTTACAAAATGGAGTTAAGGCCATTTCAATTGTTGGTCTTGAATTGATGAAATTTTGGGTTTGGATTCCATTTCTAATGCAGATTGCGAATATGCATTTACCTCAATACCCCAATACCCAATTCCAGCTCTATCTAGATATATTCAAAATGGAAGTCATCAGTCTACAGTTTATCCAACAGGTTCAATAGCAACGTTGAAACGCGTAACTTATTGTAATTATAATTTATTAATTTGCTCACAAGCAGTACTTAGATTAGAGTGCCATTTTCGTACAACGAAAATATGTAAAAAAAATCAAGATCACAGCTAACAAGCGTACCTTAACATACATAATCAAACCCATCTTAAGGAAACACTTGATCCCGATAAGTCATTGGTCTACCGACGTTCGACAGAACATTCCACAATGATTTACAACTGAAAGCTTTGCCTACCATCAGCACTACATACACTTTGGATTTACTTACTGAACCTAGCGATTTTCCGCCGTAGCTTCTTGTCATAATCCTAATTAGGAAAAATCGATCAAATTACATGTATTGCGATCGCAGTTCCTTCAACTTCTTTGAGCTTCCGCCTGTGACATTCCATAGCACATATAGTGAACTCAAAGCTAGACCAACTCCTCCTCCGATGGCACACTTTCTCAAGCCTGCTGTGGATTTGTATAGCAGTCCGGTGGCACCGCCGGCCGCTATCGTGTTGATTTCATCATCCTCACCACGCGCCCACTGGAGCACTACGCCAAACACGGAATACATCACTGCTAACGTGCCAAGTGTATTCGCTGTGGCCGCTCCTTGTTTCATGACGTGATTCAAAAGCCTGAAATGATGACAGATTTGGAATTAGAATTCTAAACAAACCGCGTTAGGGCAGATAATCTTACTGTGTTCGTCGTAGCTTTCCTGTATGGTTGGCCAATGCAGTAGCACGTACTCCATTGTAGAAGCCAGCTGCACCCCCAATTCCGGCTCCGATCATTGCCGACGAACCGATCTGAGAGAACGCTAATTCGAACCTTCCCCGCTGCTTGGAAGCTCCCTCTGGAAAGATGAATTCCGGCTGGGACTGCATATAGCGGGTATCATAATTCAAATACGGAGACAATGACTGAACCTGCTGGGATGGTCGTGCTGCAAGAATCAAAACAACCATCATGCATTGAGGTTACATTGCTAGCTGCAATATTGCGTAATGAATTATTATTTTGTGGAGTCAAACTTACCAGGAGAAGGTGCTCCAAACGATAGAGGTTTACTCAAATAGTCGTCGCTCATTATTGCAAAGATTTATCAACGAGAAACACTGAATTTTTGGTCGAATTATAAGAAAATTAGTTCGAACTCACGACAGCGAAATCTGCGCCGTGCGCTGGAGAGGACGATGATTATTTTTGACAAAATCGAATGACAGTCGCCAACGCGATGTTAGCCCGCAAACTTGAGATGAGCTCGGTACCCGTTACTGATATATCTATACACGCTATTTCAAAACTACCCAAATTTGGATCGAATCCATCCAGATCGGTCAAAACTGAACATACCCAAAAATGAGTAAACTATGTAGCAAGTGACAAGTTGACAAATGGACAAAGTCGATCGGATCCACGTCGATGGATCCGATCGACTTTGTTCATTTGTCAACTTGTCACTCCCAACTTAGTTTACCCATTTTTGGGTACACAGCAAAAAAAGTTGTTGAATATTACATCGAAACTGCTGCAACCAGGTCAATCCATCGGTTGTGTAATATCACATTGTACGATGTACATCGATTTTGCGAACAAAATTACATCCATTGATGTAATATTGTATCTGCTTTTTGCTATTACATCATTATTTCATACATCAGCTTGAATTACGTTGATCGATATTACATTTTTTTTTGCTGTGTAGGTACAGTTTTAGCCGATCTGGGTGTAATCTACCCTAATTTGGGAAGTTTTGAAATAGCGTGTATATGACTTGAGCTTAAAATCCCCGTGGTGGCGAGGGTGGTGGGTCTAAGATTTTGGGACAATCAATGCATCAGGTTTAAGAAAAACGTGACGATAGGGGAAGGGAGAGGGTACATTTTTCTTCGATTTAGGGTGACATAATTAATGCATGGGCCCTTTATTGAAATCATATTGAAAATCCATGTATATCAACTAAGTTCTATAAAATGTATACGTCCCGTACTTCTACCAAGTTTCTTTAATTCAATTTCATAAACTCAAAAAATGCTCCCTGAACTTCTTACCAATCCATTTATCTGAGCCTCAATAAAGTTCCCTAAGTTTGTGGACAGTTTTATGAATTGCTCGATAGAACATTCGATAAACTTAAAAAGTTTCCTCGCAATATACGAAGTTCCCTGAAATCAATCTCTTAAGACATAGGTTCTACGAGTTCCATTGATTTCCATTGGTGGTCCCAGAACTTTTGTATGTTTAATAAGTACATCTTCGCCACCCGTAATTTTAAAATGTAGAAGTGAATTCTACCAATGGATTATGGTTTATGTGGCCCACCCTATTATTGCACTAACACCTATGTATTTCCTAAACCGCAAAGAAGTCTATAGACTTCTCTGACGTTTGTGAATTGCACAAGTTTAGTGCAGAACTTTGGATAAATTCAAAGGTTTTCTTGCACTGATACTTATAATTTACCCAAAGTACTGCACTAATACTTGTGCATGTCACAAACGTCAGAGAAGTCTATAGGCGAGCATGTCTTACGGTGATTGATTAACTGGATTAACAGCATGTGTTGCGTGCGCCCCTCGTGCGACGCCACACCTACTAATCTATCTCATGGATGCAGCGGCGCCGCATTGAAGCTGACAGCGGCATAATGGTATACGGAGCTGTCAATTCGGCGTGAGAAAAAGAAGTGCAAATCACTCCTAAAATTGAACTTTGGTGCATAAATTTGAATTGCAATTAAACCTACTTTAAATTAGTTTTAAATTTGTATTTAAAATCATCATTACACTATAAGGTGAGGAATTTACAATTATACTGTGAATTTGTTGACTAAACATTGAACGTTGAATATAAACACATCTAGGTCCACTTACAAATCATTGTACAGCACCACACTACATAGAAGTTTACGTTTAACGAGAAGAATACGGTAAAAAACATGTAAATTTGGATTCACGATACTATTTGACACAAACATTTACATGTAGGTTTAATAACGTGGTCATTCGAGCCCATCTCTGTAGGCAGATCCGGGTGACGACCCTAAGAAACGCAGAAACGTAAGTTAACCTCTATTCTATTGTGTGAAGATAAAAACTAACCGTGTTGATATTATCTCTAGGAGAATTTTAACCGTTCGGTTCCCGCTCGGTTGCCCAATAAACGAGTTAAATTTCCGGAAGTGTTTTCTTTCGTTGCGTACGCAACAGTTTTAAAATTCTCGTTTCCCGGATCAATCGGAGATGCCACGAAGGGACCGAACTCGGGATCCAGTGCCGGATGACAGCTTGCAGCAATCCTGCCCGCTCTGCCGTCTGCCAGATAGCAACGACATGGTCAGCTGCGATGACTGCGAGCGTTGGTTCCACTTTGACTGCGCCGGAGTAAACGAAGATGTGGCCGATCACGATTGGAGCTGCCAGGAGTGCATCGTTGCCAGAGTTCCTGCTCCACAATCGCCACATCCAAGAACTCCTACAGGTGAGCCATTACCACACCCGCAGTCACCAATACCACTGCCAGTTCCACGTCTGCCCACATCGCAAACACCAATCCCGCCCGTTCCTACACCACGACCGCAAACTCCGCGAACGCCAATAGTACCCCCACGTAGTCCATTGCCAAATCCGCAGCCACCTACCCCACGTCCACGAACACCACGATCGCCAAATCCGCCACCGCCAACCCCACGTCTGCGTACTCCTCGAACACCTATTGTGAATCCTGATGTGCCAGTAGTTCCCAGACAAGTTGCTGTCGATCCAGATTTTGTGAACAAACTGCCTGCCGAACTCCGGATCCAACTTCTAGAGGAAGAGCAAGCTATCGAACGCAAGTTTATGTTGCGTAGGTTTCAGCTTCTGCTCGAGTCGACGGGAAATGCCATTCCTGCACGACAAAGTAGTCCAGAAGGGAACGCTTTCGAACCAAACAACACAAGAAACCATCCTGTCTTTCATTCTTCGCCTGTGAATAGTCACCGTAGATATATGCCTCCCTTTGCACCACCCCCAGTCCGCCAAGATCACGACGGACCAACTTTCGCTCCACATCGGGAACAGCAACAGTTATACGTTCCAGTTGATATTCCTTCTGAAATCAACCATCGTCCCGATTTCTCTGCTCGTGACCCTCCTCGTATCGATCATCATTCGAACATACCAGCGTTCAATCCACCTCCACCTATTCACCGTCCTATCGCTTCGACGTTTGCTTCTCTCCGGACCGATCAACGTCAGCATATTCCGACGTTCTCTCAAGCGAATCATACTCAGCGCCCGAATGCTTCGGCATTTGCCCCATATGCTGGTCTTCCGCGTCCTGCCGCTCAAGAGTACTATCCGTACGACTTACACGACTATCCTTCTGCCACGGGGGGGACGGCGTTGCTCAATAAAAGCCAAATCGCCGCACGTCACGCAGTCTCTAAGGAACTACCAATCTTCAGCGGGGAACCGGATGAATGGCCCTTGTTTTTCGCAACCTACGAGAACACAACGAACCTTTGCGGATTTTCGGCGGAGGAGAATATGGCTCGTCTACAGAAGTGTCTACGTGGGAAAGCATTGGAAGCGGTCAAATGCCAGCTGTTGCACCCAGCCAACCTGGATCAAGTTCTTTCGACGTTGCGAATGCTGTTTGGGCGTCCGGAAATCATCGTACATTCGCTGCTGCAGAAGATAAACACTCTTCCCGCTCCCAAAGCAGAACGCCTAGGTACGCTCGTTGATTTCGCGCTGGCCGTTCGCAACATGGTAGCAACAGTGAAGGCCTGTGAGTTAGAGGAGCATCTGTGTAATTTGACACTGCTGCACAATCTGGTAGATCGTCTTCCACCGATGATTCGGCTGAATTGGGCGACCCATCGTCAGTCTCTTCGATCGGTAACTTTGTTGGAGTTTAGCGAGTGGCTGTACAAACTGGCAGAAGCAGCGAGCACGGTGACGATGCCTCAGTTCTCGGGCTCCTTCGACAACAAGACACACCGGGAACGGAAGAACGATGGATTTCTGAACGCACACACCGAGACGGTTCCTAAGGTCAACCAAAGCGACGTTGATAGTGGATGTGTCATCTGCAATAGCAACTGCATAGTAGTGGAGAAGTGCAAACAATTCGTTGCAATGGATCTTTCCGCTCGGTGGGCTGCACTCCGGGAACACAAATTATGCCGTAGCTGCCTGGAAAGTCATCGAGGTCCCTGCAAGTCCGGGAAGTCGTGTGGTAAAAACGGCTGCCAATACAAACACCATCGGATGATGCACAACGACGCGAAAGATAAATCGATAGCGTCATCTTCGTCGAGTTCGACACCGACTACTTCTACTTCACAGCACGTCAGCGCGAGCAGTTCCCGAGAAACCAGATCATGCAACACGCATCGAGGAGAAAGCAGAGCTGTACTATTCCAATACGTTCCGATCACGCTGTACAATGATGGGATCAAGGTTCAAACCTATGCGTTCCTAGACAGCGGATCTTCCTTGACACTGATGGAGGAAAGTTTGGCGAAGGAGTTGAATTTGCGCGGCGAAAGGCATCCACTCTGCCTCCGCTGGACGGCTGATACCTGCCGTTACGAAGACGCTGCCATGCGAGTTTCATTCAACGTTTCGGGCACGTATGACGGATGTCCTCAAAACAAACTGACAGATGTCTACACGGTTAAAGAGTTGAAACTTCCATCGCAATCTCTCTCCATGCGGATGCTTTCGACGAAATATCCTCATCTCGACGGGTTGCCAATAGAACCATACAGCAACGTTCAACCGAAGATATTGATCGGCATGAATAATGTACGAGTGATCCACCCCCTAGATAGCCGTGAAGGGAAGCCAAACGAACCAGCTGCTGTCAAGACACGCCTTGGATGGACGATCTACGGGACTTGCTTGTCCGATAATGACCCGGCGTCGAAAATTACCCCGTACAGCTACCATATCTGCTTCCACTCTTACGATTCGGATGAGCTCTTGCACGAAACCGTCAAAAACTACTTCACTCTTGACAGTTTGGGGATCAGTGCTCCGCAGAACCAGCTGCTTTCCAAAGAGGACGAACGAGCGTTGACGAAATTACGTGACGTTACGACGTTCCAGAATGGGCGCTATCAAGTCGGTCTTCTTTGGAAATACGATGATGTGCGCCTACCCAACAACAGATCAATGGTGTTGAGACGCCATCACTGTCTGGTCAA